AAAAAAAAAAAAAAAAAAGAGAAAACAAAACACCAGTCAGGAGCCAGAGTCCTTCCTCACTAACCGAGGCCGCCCACAGGTGTCTGAGCCCCAGGCTGGGTCGAGGGCAGTTTCATGCCCGGAGGTATGAGAAGTAGGCTCTGGTGGGGCTGAGGCCTTAGAAACAGGGCCAGGCCACCTGGCACCAGGTGAGGGATGGAGAGGCTAAGGGCTCCCAAGGCCAGGAAAAGGAACCCAAGCAACAGGCAAGAGCTTTATTGGGTTACAGCCTGAAGGCAGGGCCAGGAAGGCAGAAAGCTCAGGGCAGATGCACAGGCCCCCAGCCCCATATTCCTACCAGAACCCAGAGCCACCAAACTGCTGCTACCAGGAACTGAAGTCCCCAAAACCTCGGCTGGGCTTTTTCTTGACCAAGGGGATGGCTGGACTGGCAGATGGCTCCTCCTCCGCCACTCGTTTTCTAAGAAAAACAGAACAGGACTCCAGCACCATGCAGGTCCCAAGCCCCCACACCATCCTGACATAACCACTCCACCTGTATCCCTCCCTGCCAAGCCCTGCCCCAAACAGCTGCTGTGCCCACATCCCCCTGAATCCATCCTGGCCAGGCCTGCACAGGGGCAGCCTCACAGCACACGCTTAGGTCTGACCCACAGGCCTGTCAGCCTCTCCCACTCACGTGGCTGCTGGGCTGATGTACTTGCCCACCCCCTGGCGGAACATCTGGGGGCCCTGGCTCCCAGCCTGTGGCTGGCTAGTCTTCACTGTGGTCTCCAGGGCCACCTCCAACTGGGTCTTCTTCCGCTCCTCAGCAATCTGTGACACAAGAGGACTGGGCTGACCCACAGTGCCCTGGGCTAGGGGCTTGAGCGGCTCCCCAGGTGGCAACATCATGCCCTCCTCACCTGAGCGTCAGCCTCCTCATAGGGGTCCACGAACACTGTGGTGGCCTCAATGCGGATCTCTTCCTAGAAGCAGAGGGGCTGAGTATACAAAGGCCCCTCGCTCCACCTGCCTGCTGGCCAACCTCAGTGGCCTCCCACATCTCCCTGAGCATGTACCTTAGGGCGGTCAGTTTTGGGGTCACTCTCCACATTCTCCATGGCTGTCAGTGTGTCAAAACCCCCAACGACCCTGCAGCAGAGGGCAGAAGTGGGTCTAAACTAGGGTGACCAGATTTTAACATCTGTAAGGCGGGACAACATGGCCGGGGGGTGGGGCGGGGCGGGGGCGGGGCAGGGCCTGACAACAAGGCAAATTTGATAAGCAGTTCTCGATAATCACTTCTCAGCAATTATTTATTACGGTTTAACATTATAAAATTAATAAAAATAATATAAAACTCGTATTCTGGCAAAATAGCCATATGGCGGCCAAAAGCCGTATATTCCCTTCTTGTTCTCCAGCCTGTTCGTGCATTCTTTCCAAAAATCAGGGCTTTTTTAAAACGCCGCGGGACGCAGGACAAATTGTTGAAAAGCGGGACTGTCCCACCAAAATCAGGACGTCTGGTCACCCTAGTCTAAATACACTAGGGTAGAGTACCCAAACCACCCCCATGCCAGAAAGAGAGCAGGCTGGGGTGCTGGGGCACCACCAGGCCAGGGGGGCCTGTCTGTCCTCTGCAGCAGCCATGAAGGAGGGCCTCAGGAAAATCCAGCTGGTTTGTAAATAAAGTTTTATTTGGACAGAACCACACGTTTCTTCCATACTGCCTATGTCTGTTCTGAGCAGCAACTGCAGAGCTGGGGAGTTGGGGTCATAGAGACCATGTGGCCCACACAGCTGGAGACCCTCCCTGAGCCTCTACAGAAGTCTGCTGACGCCTGAACCAGAGGCTAAGGAGAGAGCCAGACATGGACAGAGAGCCAGACAGAGAGCCAAGTGCTGCTGGGTCTGAGACGGCAGCTGGCCAGGCCGAGTGGGGACACATCTCCTCCTGAGCCTGGCAGGCCTGGAAAGCCAGGCTTTCCCACCCAGCAGAAGCACCCAAGTCACCACTCTGTACAGACTCAACCCCAGCAGTGGCAGAAGGACCCCCTGAGCACAGAGCTCGGGTCTTGGAGAGATAGTGGGTAGACCCAGCTGCATAAGAAACCCACCCATTCACAGGCTCCCGACTTCATGTAGCCACCTCTCTTACCTCCCGAAGATGGTGTGCTTCTTATCCAGGTAAGCACAGGACCGGAATGTGATGAAGCTGGCGGGGAGGGTGCGGGTTAGGGGAGTGTGCTGGTATCCCCACCTGTCCTGCCCTGGTCCCAGCCACTGCTAAGTACACACCAGGAGCTGCCTACCTCCCAGGGGTGCACATGTGAGTGTGCCCCACCTCCCCACCTCTGTCAGCTAAGGCCCCCAGGTCATCCCTGACCTCCAGCTCCCTAGGCAAGAGCCCGGAACAGCTGCGCCTCTCACCAGGTAGGCCCCGTGCCTAGAGCCAGGAGGTAGCAGCCACTGGCTAGAGCCTGCCTCTCAGCCACAAGGGAGATGGCTGGGATAGAGACACATGGAACACCAGAGCCCAGCTGAAAGACCAGGACTCAGAACCAGGAGAAAGGAAACAGGAAGATGGGGAGTCGGGGATGGGAGGATGGAAGTGAAGGGACGGAGAGATGTGGGTGACAGAAGGAATCATAGACCAAGAACACAATCCCGTCTGATTTTGTTGCTGTTGTAATTCCACCCTATCTGTATGCCACATTGGACTGACAGGTACAGAGGCCAGGTTACAGTTAACTATATAACTTTGGATTTCACACTGATGGCCTTCTTAAATTAGACCAGAGGCAAGACATCTAACTTCTAAACCAGGAGAAAGACAAGAGGAGAGGGCAGCGCCTGTGGCTCAGGGCACCAGCCCCATATACTGAGGGTGGCAGGTTCAAACCCAGCCCCGGCCAAACTGCAACAAAAAAATAGCCGGGCGTTGTGGCGGGTGCCTGTAGTCCCAGCTACTCAGGAGGCTGAGGCAAAAGAATCACCTAAGCCCAAGAGTTTGAGGTTGCTGTGAGCTGTGACACCACGGCACTCTACCAAAGGTGACAAAGTGAGACTCTGTCTCAAAAAAAAAAAAAAAAAGAGGAGAAAATGAAATGTAACACAGGGTAGCTAGAAAGCACCAGGTAAGACAGCAGGAAGCAGTGTCCTGAGTTACAACTGTCAGGACGAATGACAATAAAACAGAATCCAGGTGTGAGCCTCCAAAAAGAGAGGGCGCCTGTGTAAGAACCTGAAAGGCTAGGAGAGGATGGAAGAACCAGGTACCACCAGGGTGGGGGGTTAAGGTGCCCCAGACACAAAGCATCCAGACCTGCCAGTGAGCTGCAGGTCTCAACCCCCACACCACGTGCAATCTGCACCACCCAGCAAACCAGAACAAACCACCCCTCTCAGGGCACCTGAGCCCCCAGCCCCGACCACACAGGGCCACCAGACACATCTCCACAGATGTCCACCCAAGACCATGCAGACGACTCTGACCTCCAAGCCATTCTCTTTCTCTTACTGACTTCTAACACAGTTAAGGAGGCTAGAAAGATAATTAAATAAGTAAATATCAGAAGAGAAACAGGAAAATCTTGACAGGAGAAAGCTGTATACAAAAACGGTCCTGAAGGAGAGCACCAAAACAAAGGAAAGTCAAGTGTGCGGAGATCTTCAGGAGAGGCAAGACGGTGCTTTGGGCTGTGTCACCACTGGGATGAAACACAGCTGAGCTAATATGACCCTGAAGCAAAGCATCAAAGTGCACAGTGGGAGTCAGCCAGTTCTTCACCACCAAAAAAGCTGTCAGTTCAAATCAAGAGTCAAACAACACTGCTAACCTTTTCTGATATCAGAAAGATTGTTTATTATGAATTTGTCAAGTGACAGTTAACCAAGTTTACTATTGGGAAGTGCTAAAAAGGTCGCATGAAAAAGCTAGATGATGGCGGTGCCTGTGGCTCGCTGAGTAGAGTGAGCCCATATACCGAGGGGGGCGGGTTCGAACCTAGCCCCAGCCAAACTGCAACAAAAAATAGCCAAGCATTGTGCTGGGCACCTGTAGTCCCAGCTACTTGGGAGGCTGAGGCAAGAGAATTGCTTAAGCTCAGGAGCTGGAGATTGCTGTGAGCTGTGACGCCACAGTACTCTACCAAGGGTGACAAAGTGAGACTCTGTCTCTAAAAAAAAAAGAAAAAGCTAGACGAAAACACCTGAACTTTCTGCCAACAACTCATGGCTCTTGCATCAGCACAATGCAGCAGCTCACATGGCACTGCCTGTGAGGGAGTTGTTAGGCAGTCAGCAAATTGGAACACACTCCCTACACACCTGATCTGTCCCCTAGTGGCTTTTTCTTTACCTGAAGATAAAGAAAAATCAAAAGGAAGACATTTTTATGACATTCAGGACATTAAGGGTCATATGACAACAGCTCTGATGGCCCTTCCAGAAAAAGAGTCCAAATCTGCTTGAAGAGTGGACTAGGTGCACAGCTTCCCAGGGACCACTTCACAGGTGAGCACAGTGACCCAGCAGTAAGAAGTGCAGCATGTTTTTAGGGTGAGTTTGAACAACAGCAACCAGCAAGTAGTAAAGAGGGAGCAGCCCCCAGAGTTACAGACCAGCTGTTAGCGATCATGGCAGACACAAGCTAGGAAAGCGGAGGAGAGGACAGATGCCAGGAAGAATCAACCAAGACAGAAACTGAAAACAGTGACACGGAGAGCAACAAAAGACAAACGCCTCATAAACCACCAAGGAAGCAAGGAACACAGCCGCAGTTAGGAGAGAGCAGGGTGGCATGATGCAACAGAGAGGCAGACAAGACCCTACGTGCTGGCAGATTTGAACCCAGCCAGGGCCTACCAAACAACAATGACAACTACAACAATAACAACAACAACAACAAAAATAGCCAGGCATTGTGGCGGGAGTCTGCAGTCCCAGCTACTTGAGAGGCTGAGGCAAGAGAATCACTTAAGCCCAGGAGTTGGAGGTTGCTGTGAGCTGTGACAACCCAGCACTCTACACAGGGCGACATAGTGAAACTCTGTCTCAAAAAAAAACGAAAGAAAGAAATAATCTGCCGGTCCATAATGGAGGCCTGGCAGACATGTGAATGACTTTGAGCCGTCCTTGGCTGGTAACAGCTGAGCCAGTGTGACTGTAACTCCTGCAGACCACAAGCAGTGGCAGCCTCACCCACACCACAACCCGCTCCAGCCAGTTCACATGCCTAACACCACACAGACCACAGGTGGAGAGTGAGGCGGCAAGGACCACAGGGGAATTATGACAGGCCAGGGCTTCCTCCAGAATGCCATGGACCAAAGGAAAGGCCAGGCCAGAAAGGCCAGGTGGTTTCTTTTTCTTTTTTTTTGAGACAGAATCTCACTTTATTGCCCTCAGTAGAGTGCCGTGACATCACAGCTCACAGCAACCTCTAGCTCTTGGGCTTAGGCAATTCTCTTGCCTCAGCCTCTCAAGTAGCTGGGACTATAGGCGCAACGCCCAGCTATTTTTTTGTTGCAGTTTGGCCAGGGACAGGTTCAAACCTGCCACTCTTGGTATATGGGGCCGGCGCCCTACCCACTGAGCCACAGGTGCCACCCCAGCCACTCTGGTTTCATGGTGATCTCATCCACACAATCTAGAAGTACAAGAGAATCCTATGGTGATCGTCATTCATCGTTGTAACAGATGTTAAGAAAAAAGACCTCTGGAAATTCAGCCACTTCTCTTAGAACAATAGACTGTCGAGTGTCATCAGATGGCAAAAGAGCATTTCAGTGGGGGCCTATAATGCCAGAGCCTCCTCCCCGCAGGCCCAGCAAGGATGTGCACACTAGGCGAACAGAGAGGACTCCAGGTTTTGCTGATAAGCTTGAGTTTCCAGAATACCCAAGAAAGTCTAAATAAAAAAGACCTGAATTATAAAAGAATTTGATAAATTAACTAAATATAAACTAGTTATTCTTTACATGAGCAACAATGAACAATTAAAAAAATTTTCATTTACAAAACGTGAAATTCTCACAGGGTAGCTTAAGACAAGGGACAGTGACTCGTGTGAAGACAACTATAAAACCCAAGGTCAAATCAAGCCACGCTTGTGGACGGTGGGCAGACGGAACGTGCACATCTGTCCTTCCACAACTTGGTGCCCAGCCCCCAGCCCTTGCTGCCAGCTGTTGCCCACCCACACCCCTCCACACATACCAGGGTACATGCTCTGCCAAATGCCAGTGCCTGCCTAGTGGCCTGAGCTCCTCAGTCCTGCCCTGGCCACATCCACCTTTCTGGACCTCATGGTAAGAGGTGACTTCTGCTCTTTTTTTTTTTTTTTTAAGAGACAGAGTCTCACTTTATCGCCCTTGGTAGAGTGCTGTGGTGTCATAGCTCACAGCAACCTTTAGTTCCTGGGCTTAGGCGATTCTCTTGCCTCAGCCTCCCGAGTAGCTGGGACTACAGGCGCCCGCCACAACACCCGGCTATTCTTTTGTTGCAGTTTGGCTGGGGCTGGGTTTGAATCTGCCACCCTTGGTATATGGGCTGGCGCCCTACTCACTGAGCCACAGGCACTGCCCTGACTTCTGCTCTCTTAATGGTATACACTGCCAGAGCCTGCTCTTCATGCCAACTGGCTGTGGGGCATCCCCTTTTGATGCTGGGGCACATGCCCAGCCTAGAGGCGCCATATGCTGCCTATATTGGTTTCAGGCCAGTATAACCCTCAGGGAGCAGCAAAGAGGAAGAACCATGGGAAGCTTTGGGCCACCCCCCAGCCTAGCCGACTCACAACTGAGACTTGTTACTGTTGGGCCCAGAGTTGGCCATGCTGAGGATGCCCCGTCCCGTGTGTGAGAGGTTGGGTCGGAACTCATCTATGAAGGGCTTCCCCCAATATGATTCCCCACCTGGAGAAGAAAGTTACAGTCAGTAACAAGAATGCCAGGGCCCAGGTGAGTCCGCCCCAAAAACTCTGCCTCCCAAGGGGTATCAGGCCTTGTTAGGCACACCTGGGGCAGCAACACCTTAAACACTGACCTTAGCTCTGAGCCCCTACACCCACATGGGCCCCCAAGTGACTTGCCCCAGGACGCGGAGTAGAGGGTCAAAGCCACAGTCATCATTACAGGGTAGGGTGGGGGCCAAGCAGTTGCCAGGCTGGGTTTGACTGGAGAGGCCTGGGCGGTCATTTCTGGGGGCTCAGGAAGGGGGTAACACACTCTTATCCTATCCCTCATGTGGGCCCCATAACCACCAAGAAATGGGTTGGGCCTGAGGGACACATTGGGTGGCTGTGTCCAATTCTAGCCTTGGGGCTCGGACTTCATATCTGAACTCTCCACACAATCCTGCTCACTGGCCCTGCTCACATGCCCCATAAATAGCCATGGGGCCTCAGGAGGGGCCCAGCACCAGCACCTACCTGTGCCTGTGCCCGTGGGGTCACCCCCTTGGATCTGTGAAGAACAGAAGCCGGTGAGCCAGTCTTGCCCTGAGGCCCAGAGTCCGCCCCCAGGTGTGCTCCAAAGAGGGTGGCAGGACCAGGGGCCTCCCACCCACCCTTGTAGTGAACCCAGTTCCACCTGGGCTGGAGACTCAAGGTTATCAGCCTGCAGGTTCCCTGGGAGACTCCCCAACAGATTTCCCTTTGGGATGTGCTCTAGCTACCCGGGTGTCTGGGAGAGGGCTGGGAAGGGTTCTTCCAGCTTTGACATCCCACTGAGCATGTCTGTGCAGCCAGGGATTCCATCACTCACCACGAAGTTCCTGATGGATCTGTGAAAGATGGTGCCATCGTAATAACCCTTCTTGCAAAGCCTGATGAAGTTTTCACAGGTTTTCGGTGTCTGCAAAACCAGTATTCCTGTGAGGCACATAGCAGCCAAGTGCAGGTCACAAAAGCCACACAGGGCCTTTATCACGTGGCAGACACATGATCAGATGCCCTGCACTACAAGTGAGGAAGAACCTGCCAGCCACAGGGAGGGTCCTGGGCGGGGCAGCAGGCAAGCCAGGCCCTCTACAGCCATCAGGCCCCATGGGGAGGACACAAGTCTACCCTAGCCCCCTCCTGGAGTCAGGCTATAAGCACATACTCATGACAGTGCCATGTTCAAGACACAGCTGACCATAATCCCAGAAAAACTCTAAGGCAGAATGAGGGGCAGCTGCTCACCCACCAGGTCACAGTGCAGCTCCAGGTTGAGGTCGCCCCTGCTGGTGTGCAGCCGCACGTAGCCCTTCTTCTTGACAAACTGGTAGCGCAGCACGTCCTCGTCAATGGCAGCTGCAAGCAGAGGCCTGCACTCGGTGCCCACCCATACCTCAGGGCAGCCCCACCACCGGCACTGGACACAGCTCTGGGGAGAGTGCTGGTGGAAGCAGGGGGCCGAGAATGACCCAGGCCTCGCATGCTCACTGGGCTCATGGTCCAACAGTTATAGTAGGTGCCAGAAACGCTCAGATGTGAGCGGGTGGGACGGCCAGAGGGTGGAAGAATCCCCATGAGGGGCTCAGGGTCCGGAAAGTGGGGGGAGAGACCCCATAGGAGGAAGTGCCTGAGTGTCCGTGGAACCACAAGGACATCAAACTGTGAGGCAGGGCCAAGTCCACAGAGTCAGGAAAGGATCTCCTGGCCCAGGCCTGGCACACATGGCAGCCTCCCTGACCCCAGCACAAAACCTGCTGGCCAAGAGGGCCTGACCCCACCCACCCGCTCCACCAAAAACTGCTGAGGAAAGCGGCAGGGGGAGGGCAACCGCCTGAGACACAGTCACACGGCTGTGACTGGAGCAGCAGAGGCATCCACCTGCTTCATGCGTGGTCTCCGGAATCATGGCGGTGGAGGTGAAGGAGGCGCTGACCTTCCCTGTGGAATAGTGGGCCTGCCGAGAACACCAGGGAAGTTCCTCATCGGCATGTCGGGTGCTGGCGGGTGGGCACACAGACGCCCACCTGCAGACCAATCACATATGCTCTCTGCACCACAGACACATTCTCTGCTCTAGCTCTCTCCTCCACAAGGGTCTCCCTAACCCCTACCAGTGGGCCCAATAGGATAGCCTGGCCAGCATCACCCTTCCCTTAGAGCCCAGTCAAGGGGCTGAGGACAGAGACACAGTGACAGCACCGGGAGGGAGACTACAGCTGGCCCAAACCAAGAGCCGACTCCCATGACCTACGTGAAAACCTGGAACAAAATACCCCACAGGACCGGCCCCCTAGGAGCAGGCGTGACTCCTTTCTTTTTAAAAGTTCACTTTTTTTTTTTTTGGCCAGGGCTGGGTTTGAACCCACCACTTTCGGCATATGGGGCCAGCGCCCTACCCTTTTGAGCCACAGGAGCCACCCTAAAAGTTCACTTTTTATAGTAAACACATTATCTCTTTAATCAGGAGAAAAAGCCCAATAAATATTTTTATTATAGAAAAAAAGAGAGTTTCTCCCCATCAGAAGAAAACACACCAAAGTGTTAGAATGGGGAGATTACTGACAACAAACTTTCTTTCCTAAATTTCCCAGAATTTGGATAATTCTTTAGCGGGGAGAGTCTCTACGCTCCCCCTACAGCTCCCCTGGCTCTGCCTAACATAGTGAAAAGCAAACGTGATGATCCAGACAAGGGCCAAGCAGGGCAGCAGCAGACATACTGACCCTCACCACATTGGCCCCCAAATGCCCCAACTCTGGTGAGGCAGATCTCCACGACTGGGCCACACCCCTGGAAGGAACCATGAACCCATCTGTTGGTTCTCCACTGCCCAGTGTGGGGGTCAGCTCCACCCCTCCCACCTTCTGGAAGCCAAGGCACCTCAGCCACCCTGAGGCCTGGCACCCAGGAACCTGGGGACACTGCAGCCCTCGGGGTCCCCCAGTGTCCCACAGACCCCTCCCCAGGACTACTCAAAGAGGCCCCAGGCAGGTGGAGAGAGGGAGCTCAGCCGAGTGCCCTCCAGCACTCACAGCATTCAGCTTGTCCACCTTCTTCTTCTCCGGGACTTTCATGGTGGCAGCCAAAATCTCGTCCCCTTTGAATTCCTTGTAGAGCTCCTGCAGGGTCTCCCGTGTCTCAGTGTTCGTGTTCTTCAAATAATAAGATGGGTCCTGTTTTGCCTTCTCTTCATCTACAAAACAGTACCATGTCCCTGAGCAGCCAAGGTCCCAGCAGGACCCCCAGACGTGCTTGACAGCCCTGTGAATCCAGAGCAGGTCCCAGTGACAGAAACCACAGGTAGGTCAGGCCACAGGCCTCAAGTTGCTGCTACTGTATCACAGGCAGGCAGTAAGGCCAGGCACCCAGAGCACACAGAAGGCCTGTGTGATTTTATAACTTCAAAAACTTTTTTTTTTCTTTAGCACCGTTGGTAGAGAGCCGTGGCATCACACAGCTCACAGCAACTTCCAACTCCTGGGCTTAAGAGACTCTCTGCCTCAGCCTCCCAAGTAGCTGGGACTATAGGCTCCTGCCACAACACCCAGCTATTTTTTTGTTGCAATTTGGCCAGGGCTGGGTTTGAACCCACCCTCGGCATATGGGGCCAGCACCCTACCCACTGAGCCACAGGTCCGCCGACTTCAAAAGTTTTGTGGGTTTTTCTTTTGGAGACAGTCTCACTCTGTCACCCAGGCTAGAGTGCTATGGCGTCATAGCTCACATTCACCTCAGATTCCTGGGTTCGTGTGATCCTCCTGCCTCAGCCTACCAAGTAGCTGGCACAGGCACCCGTCATGACACCCAGCTAATCTTTCTATTTTTAGTAGAGACAGGGTCTCGCTCTTACTCAGGCTGGTCTCGAACTTCTGAGTTTAAGCAATCCACACACCTTGGCCTCCCAGAGTGGAAGGATTATAGACATGAGCCACTCAGCCCAGCCCAAAAGTTATTTTTTTCAATAATTCAAGTGTCTGGAGGCGGACCCTGCAGGAGGTGGGTGCCCCCATCAGCACACTGTCCTTTGGCCACCAGACATCATGCCTCCCAAGAAGGATGTTCCAGTGAAGAAACCAGCAGGACCCCCCATCTTCAAACCTACTGCCAAGCCAGCAGCAGGGGCCCCTCCAGTCAAGACTAAGGTTGAGCCAGCTGTTCCCTAAGCCTCTCAGAAAACCCAGGATCCCCTTATCGATCTCTCCAAAGTTGTGATCGAGTTTAACAAGGACCAGCTGGAGGAGTTCAAAGAAGCATTTGAGCTGTTTGACCAAGTAGGAGATGGTAAGATCCTATACAGCCAGTGTGAGGATGTAATGAGGGCCCTGGGCCAGAACCCCACCAACGCCAAGGTGCTCAAGGTCCTAGGGAACCCCAAAAGTGACGAACTGAAGTCCCAGCATGTGGACTTTTTTTTTTTTGAGACAGAGCCTCAAGCTGTCCACCTGGGTAGAGTGCTGTGGCCTCACAGCAACCTCCAACTCCTGGGTTCAAGCAAGTCTCCTGCCTCCGCCTCCCAAGTAGCTGGGACCACAGGCGCCTGCCACAACGCCCGGCTATTTTTTTGGTTTCAGCCATCATTGTTGTTTGGCGGGCCCTGGCTGGATTCGAACCCATCACCTTAGGTGTATGTGGCTGGCGCCTTAGCCACCTGAGCCACAGGCGTCGAACCCCGGCATGTGGACTTTGAAACTTTCCTGCCTATGCTCCAGGCAGTGGCCAAGAACCAGAACCAAGGCACATATGAAGACTACTTGGAGGAGCTTCGTGTGTTTGACAAGGAGGGGAATGGCAAAGTCATGGGAGCAGAACTCAGACGTGTCCTCACCACCCTGGGGGAGAAGATGACTGAGGAGGAGGTGGAGACTGTTCTGGCAGGACATGAGGACAGCAATGGTTGCATCAACTATGAGGCCTTCCTAAAACACATCCTAAGCGTCTGAGCTCTGTGAGTGGGTAAGCCCTCCCACCCCTCCTGTCTTGAGAGACCCAGGGAGCCCCTGCAAGCGGAAGCACGTTCCAGCCACTAGGAGGCCACCTATTATTTCAAAATAAAGACGTGGTTCCTCCCTTGGGAAAAAAATAAATAAATAAAAATAATTCAAGTGTCTGGGGCCTGTAAAGGCCCTTTGGACATGAAATGCTCCATCCATCTGTGCCCACTCAGGAAGGCACATGCTGCCTGCAGGGTGAGGGCTGCAGCCCACCCTGTGGAGAGGGGTTAGCATCCCTGGCCCACAGGGTATGGCTGGACCCCAGACACCATGGGCCTCTGGGTCTCCCAAGCTACCCCAACCATGTGCTCAGCTGCCTGAATTCTAAGCAGTTCACACGATGCCACAGGAGAGGGGACACTCCTCTGCAGTGCAGAGACCACACAGGCCCTGAGCAGAATGCAACTGGCTCCTCCAGTGCTCCACATGGCCACAAGTTAGCACAGAAAACCCAAGGACCCTCCTCACCCTGCAACCTGCTCCCTGACAGCCCCAGCTGGTACACAGGGAACACAGGACCAGCTGGCCACAGTGTCAGGCCTGACACGGCCCAGAGCCTCCAAGCCAGGGCCTGGACACAGCAGTGGTCAACAGGAACCCAGGGAGGCACGTGGCCACAGCTGAGGAGAAAGTGAGGCAATGTCCTGGCAGGGCAGCAGGTCCAGCCCACCTGAGGTTCTATAGCTGCGGCTGCCTAGACTCTCAAAGTGCAGGCCTGCCCAGGCTAGAGTCCCCTGCCCCCAGAAGGCAAGGGCTTTGCCAGGGAAACACAAGCCCTGCTCCCCCAAAACCTCTCACCCAGCCCAGCCCCTGGCTGTACACACCTGGATCTATTATTTTCATGTTATTCTTAACATGAAAGAAGTTGGAGACATTGAACTTGTCCAAATTGGTGGGGTCCTGTAGTCAAAAGAGAACCCAAGCAAAAAAAATTAAAAAAAAAAAAAAATAAAAGAGAACCCCAACAGCGCAAGCCCAGTGCCACAGCCAGGCACCAAACCTGCAGCCTGATGGCAGCTGCAGGTGACAAAGGATGGGCAGGCTCCAGGAGGGGAAGAAGCTGGCATTGCCTTAAGGCTAGGTGCAGGGAACAGGGCAGGTGGGGGCACCTTTCTCTCAGGCAGAGTAATAAGCAGGTCAGGGTGGAGAATGCTAGCTCCTAGCCGCTCACCAAACTGCATGCTGTCCCTCCAGGGCCCACAGCTAACAAGCATGCCTTGATGTTAGGTGGCCATGGACAGGAACATGGACAGCCGTTGGGCTGACCTCTGATTAGAATGGGACAAGCCACAGAGGGTTAAGTGGCTGTACCCTGCTCTCTACGTCAGTGTCTCATCAGTTCGCCGGGGCTCTTTGACCCTGCAGGAAAGCCTGTGCCAGACGCTGGGCAGAGCCAGGCCTGCAGAGCAGCCGCTACACTCCAGGAAGCTTGAAGGGACCCTGACATGAAGCTGGGGGATCACAGAGGAGGATATGAGAGCCACACACACAAAGCAGGTGGTCTTGCAGAGGCCTGGGTGACTGTAGGTGGGGCACTGAGGGCAGCTGGGGAACCACAACCAGGCAGGAATTCCAGAGGGGAGACTGCCCCCCACAGGGAGCCACACAGAGGTCAGGGCCCCTCTCCTGGGAAGGACACACTCGCCTGCAGGGTGATGACATCCTGCCGGGAGAAGGGCTCATCGGTCAGCAGGTCTCGGAAGTTCTTGGCCTTGATGTTTAGCTGCTCCACTGCCTGAGGCCGGAAGGATATGGTATCAGGCACCTGCCCCCAAGCTTTGGCACAGTGGCCCGAAGGTGGGAAGCCTGGAGCCACCCAGCATGGAGAGAGGATGAACACGACACCGCTATGTATACCCCATACACAGCAGCAATGGTGAAGGCAGAGCTAGCTGGGCCCCAGACCCCAATACAACCTCTGAGCACCTCTATGGGGAGCTCCTGTTAAACATGTGCACAGAGCAGCAAACAGGCCCAGGAGACCCATTCTGCCTTCCCCAGGTGAGGACAGAAGTGCCCTCCTGGGGCACCCTTCAGCAGCACTCTTGCACCAACAGCAAGGACTGACCCAGCCAGTCCCTGTGCACTGTGGGCAAAGAAGTAGCTCCCAGCCCCCTGGGGCAGCACTGGCCACCAACCCTGAAGACATCCAGGTGCAGGACTGGAAAGGGCACAGGGCAGTCTACTTTCCTGTACTGCTGGGCCTCTCCACAGCCCTGCCCCACCCCCACTGCCTCTTGAACAGGGCCACCAGTGTAGAAGTCACTGCCTCATCTCTCCCTAATCCACCCCTAGGCAGAACTCTTCCCATGACCCCAGACCCGATGCTCCTAGAGATAGGTGGCTCTAACCAAAGCCAGGACCCAAAGACCCTTTAAACCCCCAGAGATCTGTCCTCAGAGCATGGGGCCCCTCCTCAGGGCCTGGTCTCTGATGAAGATAAGGGAAGACACTCTGAGGGATAAGGGTCTCTGCCCCAGAGCCACCTGGATTCCAAGTTCAGAGGTGGCAAGAAGCTCCACCCCACCCTCTCTTGACCTGTGTGGAAATGAGAAGGCTGCCCAGCAAGAGCTGTGGCGCCAGTGCCAGTGAACCCTGAAAAGACAGGCTCTGCCCAGCCCAGCTGGTGGAGCTCAGAGCACACACCTGAGATCTCCACACCATGTCCCACCCCCCAGAGCAAGAACCCACCTCATAGGCATAGACGTTGCCAGTCGTCCTAATGGCCACGATGTGGGTGTTGTTGGTGAACACGGTGAACAGCACCGGGCAGTGGTAGTTTCCTAGAGATGAGGCACAGGAAGACTGGTCACCGGGGGCTGTGACGTCCCAGTGAAGACTGCTGGGAGGTAGGGCATGAGAGAACTCTGACCAAGATCAAAAGACGGGGGAGGCAGAGCTAGAGGGGTAGCAGCTGCTCTCTCTCCACTGTACCAGTAAAAGACTCCTAGTTGGTTTGGCGCCTGTGGCTCAGCAGCTGGGGCGCCAACGCATACACCAGAGCTGACAGGTTCAAGCTCGGCCCCGGCCTGGCAAACAACAATGACAACTACAACCAAAAAATAGCCGGGCATCGTGGCAGATGCCTGTAGTCCCAGCTACTTGGAAGGCTGAGGCAAGAGAATTGCTTAAGCCCAAGAGTTTGAGGTTGCTGTGAGCTGTGACACCA